GGGAAAGTGTACTGAAGACCTTAGCCAGCTAAAAGCGGCCAGCCTAAAAGGCAAGCTATTAGGCAATGACACTGGGAAAAAAATAGTCATGTTTGAAAGATCATCGCTTGCAGTCAGAAATAGATCTAAAAAAGAAGTAATGAATGGGCCACAAAAGCCGAAAAGAGACTTCGTACAGATGAAGGAATGGACCCTGTTCACTGTAAGAAATAGAGACCCAGAGAAAGAGAGAAAGCAGCCCCTGGAGCCATCCAGCAGAACCAAATAGAAACAGAATTTGGAATAAAATAATAATATCAACAAAACCCATTTAAGATACAAGAATGCAATGGAGAAAAATTCGAACATGTTAAATTCAAGATTAAAATGTAAATGAGAAAATCTAAAAAGAAAGCAAATTTCCAAAAGATTCGATAAGTAGGGTCCTGGTCAATAGCTGAACGCGATGCTCTTCTTCAGGGCCCCCACCTCAGCTCCCCACCCACAGGAACCCCAGTTTGTGTGACTTCCTAGGGACATTGAGCTGATGTGTGCAGATGGGAAGATGAACTGAAGAAGAAAAGGAGAGAGGATAAAAGCAGATGAAGATGAAGCTCAAAAATGTATCCCCTGGGCGCCTGGGTGGCTTAGTTGGTTAAGCGACTGCCTTCAGCTCAGGTCATGATCCCAGGGTCCTGGGATCAAGTCCCACATTGGGCTCCCTGCTCTGCGGGAAGCCTGCTTCTCCCTCTCCCACTCCCCCTGCTTGTGTTCCCTCTCTCGCTGTGTCTCTCTGTCAAATAAATAAATAAAATCTTTAAAAAAAAAAAAATGTATCCCCTGCAGGAAATTTAAATGAGAGCAGTTTTCAATCTAGCAAATGAAATTGTTCCTTCAACATACATTTTTAGGTGGGGAAGATGAGGTAACGGTGACCTGTCAGAACCCTTTCATGAGCAGGGATCCCTATTCCCAGAGGTGCCGCCATGGGGGCGGCTGGGTGGCCCAGACCCCGCCAGGTCGGGAGGGAATCCTGACCTGGACCCCCAAGGGTGGGCGGACTTGCTTGCCTGGCTGGGCAGAAAGCAGTGGAAACACTGTCGGTGGGGAAGAATTGATTCAAACAGGAGCCGTCTGCATTGGCAGATCAGGAAAGGGGCCGAAGCGTGGCTGTTCCTGAAATTGGCAGTGTGTCGGTTTCCATCAAAACTAAGTTCCGGTTACAAATCAGACCCCATGAGGAAAGAGATATAATTCTTCAGAGCGAAATTCTTAAGCTTAATTCTAAATTCTTTGTACACACAAACCATTTTTGTAGGCTTATCTTTTGGAAATCTACATCACTCTTTTTCCCCACCTTCTCTAGTACAGGACTATCAAACATCCCATAGCCTTTCCCTAGGAGTTAGGGTCTCCGTCATGAATCTTAGTTGTGACAACATGCCAGATGGACACATCACTGTCCCCACACCTGTCGGAGTATCTGATTCTGTGGCCCTTTATGCAATGTAAAATGTCATGATCGACTTTATGCAAGTTCATTTTTAAGTTTGGGAGGCTTTTTAGCGTAGTACCATTTTTTTTCCTTCTTTTGCTCTTGGAGTTTGTACCCAGAGATGTTGTCTCTTTCCCTTGTAATTTTCTGTTTCCAGACCTCGTGAACTTAAAAACTAGACCATTGATTTTTTTTAATTTAATTTAATTATGTTAGTCACCATACAGTACATTAGTTTTTGATGTAGTGATCTTAATCGTGTGTAGATTAAAAGCAAGCAAGGGCAGAGGGAGAGTCTAATGATGTCTTTCTTATAGTGATGTTCTAGTGTTTGGACTAGTATGGACTTTGGGACTCAATTTTGACTACCAGAGAACATGGGCTTCCTGGTGCTCAACTATGTTGTCACCAGATAACTGAGTTACTGAAAGGTGCTATGTCTTATGTTTACTTTTGAAAATCATTCTGACAAAAGGCTAGGGTTTGTTATGAATTAATTAGGGTAGGATGAAGAGGAGTTACTAAAACAGAGCGGATCTTGTTCAAGGACGCTTACCCCATTGAATGTTACTGCGTCTCCGTCTGCCCAGCGGATGGGTTTGAAGCAGGAGTGATGGGCCCCCTCCCCTTGAATCTCCTTCAGTGCTGGCACGGGGCTCTGCTGGGCTAGGCTAGCCCCAGCTCGCTAAGGCTATGCAGACTTTTGTACTCACAAGGATGTCTGGTTTTGAAGTACAGGACTCGGGGTTTTTTCTGACAGCAATGACTTGGTACTTTGGCCATTTAAATGGAATATTCATCTGAGAGACATTCCGGGTATCTGGATTTCGGCTCTCTGGTTCAAAATGCAACGTTGCAGGCGGCCTGCCAGAGGTCGCCCTTATGACAAATCCTCTCACTGTGGTTATGACTTTTGGGCCCCAGAGTCTTATAATTATGGATCTGATCTTGCAATTTTATATTACATCAACCTGATTCGTGCTGACTTCTAGAAATGGATTAAATCCTGAGGAAAACTAAAGAGAATGAAAGATTGCCCTTCACCTAGACTTTCTTGGTTTATATTCCAGTTTCCAGGCCTATGGCACAATGCCCTTGATAACATTAGGAAGATATCTCGTGGAGACCTTATGTCGCTCTGTAAGTTGGCCTTGGGAGGCTTCCCACTTCCAAAAGACACCTGCACTGAGACAGAAGCAGGTAAAGCAGAGGGATGACCAGCACTTAATTGGCATCACCTGATTTTGAATGTGTCCAATTAGAATAAGTCGTGCCTTTTAGGGAGCTGCTTGGAGCGCCGTTTAACTAATGACTCTCGATTGCAAATACCGCACCCTCTTCCTTTAAAGATTCTAACTCCGGATTCTTCTCCGAGAGCTCCCTCCCTATGAATCACTTCAAGATGTACAGAAATAAAGTAAGCTGTCACTTTAGGTAGTTATTTAAGGAGATCTATGGAGTATTATCTGTGTGAAGAACTCTGTATTAGACCAGGAGATGACAGTCTTGTTGGGAAACTTTCAGGGGTATACATGTAGCAGAATATATGGTTCGGTTATATGTCCACACCTGGGATAAACTATGGGACCAACTGATAATCACTTCACTTGTCCACTGTCTTCAGAGTCTGTCTTAGGTAATGTAGGATGTACAATGCCAAAGAGTGTGAGTTAAATGTTTAAATCTTTTAATACATACTTATCAGTGAAGGGTGGCCTGGTGAAGGTAGGTTTTGTGGACATGGATGTAGACATGGTTCTGAAAGGACAAGAGAATTAGATGAGCAGAAAAGAGTGGAAAGGAGGCACAAGGGAGAACAGTGTGCTCACGAGGCCATCAGTATGACTCAGGTGCTGGGTTCAGGCAATCTACAGAAGGCTGTCAAAAGCAGGCCATGTGTTTGAGGCTGGATGATAATTAAGAGCCACTGAAAATCTTGAGCAGAAAAATGTTATATTAAAGCCATGGGGAAGAAAGTAAAATGAGTGAAAGAAAGTCGGCAAAGGGGTTGCTATAATCATCAAGCCTTAAATCTCCAAGGGCCTGGACTAGGATGGAGCTCATAAGAATGGAGAAGAAATGGAATACTATACCTAAGACATATTTTATTTTTATAACTTGAGAGGCCATAAAGTTTAGTGGTAGTTGAGTTATGGGAAGACCCTCCAGATGTAAGGTACCCCTCACCTGTATGGCAGGTTAAATGGAATAGAGAGGAAGGGGCATAGGGAAAGAGGAGGAAAGAGGAGGGAGAAACCTATACCCTAACATGAGGACAGGTTTGTCATTCAATAAAATAAATACAATTTTTGGTTGGCTTCCTCAGAATTTTGCTTGGGATAGAAAGAAGGGAGGAGAAGCCTTGAATTTATTTGTCATTTTGAGAAAAGTATTCGGCTTTCCTGGATCTAGGACTTTTTTCTCTTTTATTATCAAAGATACACCACCATCCTCTTGATATCCAAACCAGTATCCAAACTAGAAATTCACTTTTTTCTTCACTCTCTCTTCCTTAATCTGTGTATCCAGTCATCCAGAACTAGATGGTCTTCCTTAAAAAAAAAAAGTCTACTTTATCATCATCCTGTCCTTAGCACTTCTGATGCCTCTGTCCTAACCACGTTTAACTTTTACCATTTCTTTCACTGAAGAAAGAAACCTGTCATACCTGACCATCTCACAAGTACCTAGGTAAAGGAGGTGGTGTGTGTTAGAGTTTGACATGCCAAAGTATAGTACAAAGTGGAGAGACGTGAAATTTTAATTTACGAATAAAATTTGTTTTCTCTCTCAAATTAAAATAATTGATTCTGTTGCACTCTGAACGGAGACCACTTACTGGGGACTCTGACAACTGCCTCGATGCCAGATCTAATCCAAATAGGGAATCTGCACATTTCATGACGGGTGAGAAGAAGCATCCTAACTTGAACTGAAGCGTGGCACGAGTGAAGAGCTAAACCTACACCTTGAATGGCGTAGATGGGGCACTGCCTGAGCCTTTTATCCTTCAAGAGGAACATCTCTGTCAGGGGCAAGAGCCAACTGGGTTTCTGAAACTTCTGGGCTCATGGAAAAGTGTGGAAGCCGCCACCCCCAGAGCCTTTTCCATTATTAGAATAAAGCACAGAGAGGTCCTGGCCATTAGGAAAACCAGAACAAGAAATCACTTTTTTTTCCCCACATACATTTCCTTAGTCCATTTCCCTGGGACATAAAAAAGAAGCAAAAAACATCTTAAATGCTGTAGGATTTCTCAGCTGTATTGCATGCTACTAAGGTAATTTACCTAAAGCAATGTGGTAACCAGAAGTACTTCGAGATTATCAAACATGGCGTAATGCAAACTTAATGTAATCAAAATAATTAAATTCTGACAGTATTCCTAAAGAATAAGGCCAAGTTAGGACCTGAAGTGCAGCATTCCTGATACGATTCGTATCCTTATGTTTATGTTTTAAAACAGCCAGTCCGGATATTTATGATGTTATTTTCAGCCAATAAGAACATCTGTCCTATTTTTCAGCTTCTCCAGTTGGCAACGGTTATATCAAGCCTCCAGTTCCACCTGTTTCTGGCACACAAAGAGAGAAAGGGCCGCCAACCATGTTACCCATCAATGTGGACCCAGACAGCAAACCAGGAGAATATGTTCTCAAGAGTTTATTTGTCAACTTCACCACTCAGGCTGAGCGTAAGATTCGTATCATTATGGCAGAACCTCTGGTGAGTACATGCCACGACACCCTTTCAAATTCATCTTTACACTAAATATTGTAGATTTTACAGCTCCAAGAAAAGATGGATTTCCCAAAGTGTTCTTGATACCATAGGTAATTTTTTAAAAGGTTATAATTAAGTTTCCTGATTTAAGAAAAAAAAATGAGTCAGGACTTCAAAACAATCCTTGGCAAATACACTTAAGTAGCATGCTTCACTACTACATTTAAGACTAATAAGCATAGGGCGCCTGGGTGGCTCAGTTGGTTAAGCAACTGCCTTCGGCTCAGGTCATGATCCCAGAGTCCTGGGATCAAGTCCCACATCGGGCTCCCGGCTCAGCGGGGAGCCTGCTTCTCCCTCTGACCCTCTCCTCTCTCATGCTGTTTCTCTCTTGCTCGCTCTCCAATAAATAAATAAATAAAATCTTAAAAAAAAAAAAAGACTAATAAGCATAATTTAGCAATAAGTATGAATCCTAGAAAACTTGTGTCCAGGGTTTCTGCTATGTATATATACTTTAGTGAAAATCCTTTGTCTGTTTTTAAAGTAAATGAGAAAAAAAAAATCATTCTTCAAGTGGCTGCCTGGACTCCCAGTTTGAGAACACATGGTCTCAGTGATCTATTGTCTGAGGAAGTTATTTGGTGAGTCATTCAGAAACACCTCTTTGTTTTCTGAAACTTGGAGGACAGGAAATTCTCGGCTCACTTACCTTTAGGTCTCTTATTAGACAGATAATGTCCTTGGACGTCAGTATCTTTCTTTGCAGATGATTCTGCTACAAAATAAGGCATGTGTTTCAGCCTGATGTGAATTGCTCTAACAAGGGCTCTACAGACAGAGTCCTGAATCTCAAAAGGACAGTCAGGAAGGAAGAAAAGTCCAATTGGTAGATTCAGATTACTTGTTTTCTGACCTTCGCGGGACACACACAATAAGAGAAAAGAAAGGAATTCAGAATGACACAGCTTTTTCTCTGAGCTCAGCTTTGTACCTCTTGAGAGGATACTGGGGCATGAGAGGATGATGTGAGGTTGGCTTTATCGCATCAGGGCTTAAAATAATTGAATATAATATTATTGAACCCACAATGCAAGTCTTTAAAAAAATACATAATGGATGATGCTCAACATCATCTCTTAAAAATAACCTTTGTGGGGCGCCCAGGTGGCTCAGCTGGTTAAGCGTCGGACTCTTGGTTTTGGCTCAGGTCATGATCTCAGGGTTGTGAGATCACGCCCCACATTGGGCTCTGTGCTCAGCCTGGAGTCTGCTTGAGATTCTCTCTCTTCCTCTCCCTCTGCCCCTAAATGCCCCCACTCTTCCTCTCTTAAAAAAAAAAAAAAAAGGAAAAATGACCTTTGTAAGAATCATAATTTAAGGTTTGGGAATCAAAATTCAAGAATATTTGTTAAATATGTGGTTGCCTGAAAGTTACAAGTTTTGCATTTTAAAGTTTTTATTTAGAGGGATGCCTGGATGGCTCAGTCAGTTAAGCGTCTGCCTTCTGTTCAGGTAATGACCCCAGGGTCCTGGGATCGAGCCCCACATTAGGCTCCCTGCTCAGCGGAAAGCCTGCTTCTCCCTGTCCCATTCCCCCTGCTTATGCTCTCTTTCTCTCTCTCTCTGACAAATAAATAAATAATGCTTTTATTAAACCAATGGAGGTTATCTTTATGAATTCTAGCTTCCTATTTTATAGAACACTTCTTGGTTTTATAGTTTTAATCCTTTAAATTAAACCTTAGTACAGTACCTTTTCCCTATCCACTCTTTTTTTTTTTTTTTTTAATTTTTCTGCTACTCTTACTGCTAATAATAATAGCTAGTATTCCTGGAGTAATTACTATGTGCCAGGCACTGGGCTTAATTTATTGTGTCCTTTAATCTTCACAGTGACCTTAGGTAGGTAGTATTTATATCCCCATTTACAGATGGGAAATGTTGGCACACAGAGGGCAAAGTAATTGCCCAAGGTCTCATGGTGTTGACTTGAACTCAGGTGGATGCCTTCAGAGCCCACCTCTGAACTCTCTACATTCTGTTGCCGGTCTTTACATGGTCATCCTCATCTGCAGATACCTTCTTTAATGTCTTAAAACAAACCAACACAGGGCTGTCCTATAACTTGAATCGACCAAAAATCCAGTACCCAAGTTCTCATTGCCCCAAATTGTGCTGATTCTTGGAACCCTCCAAACACCTCAAGAGATGCTGAGGCTGTGCAGCCTGTCTCCTCTGGTGGAGGGTGAGAAGCCACCTTGCTCCAGAGGTCATGGGGGAGTTTAAGGAGCAGAGAGTGGGAAGCCCCAAAGAAGAGTTCTTTCACTTCTTAACAGTGGCAGATCAGGGTTCTCTGAAATTGCCATGGTGATTTGCCCTAAAGAATAGGGAAGTTCTGGGGCGCCTGGGTGGCTCAGTTGGTTAAGCGACTGCCTTCGGCTCAGGTCATGATCCTGGAGTCCCGGGATCGAGTCCCGCATCGGGCTCCCTGCTCGGCAGGGAGTCTGCTTCTCCCTCTGACCCTCCTCCCTCTCATGCTCTCTGTCTCTCATTCTCTCTGTCTCAAATAAATAAATAAAATCTTTAAAAAAAAAAAGAAAGAAAAGGGAAGTTCTACAAAAGTTGAAAGAGATGCTAAAAAGGCTAGGCCCTGACACCTTCTGAGCCATCCGTCTTTCCAAAATAATAGTTTATATGTCATTATTTGAGAATTTACGAAGTAAAATAGTTTGGGTTTAACTTTCTCATCATTACTAGCTTGGAATTTATATGTGTAGCATTTTCTTCTTGGAGTAAACATTATGTCTGAACAACTAATATGTGCCACAGTATTCTTTTAATTAGAGGTAAGCATTTTTGTTCCTTTCAGTGAGACAACTTAAATGCCCCCAAACAAGAAAAAAGAAACAGTGTAAGTCCTGTTCATCAGCAAATCTTCATGGTGCACCAAGGATGAGAGTCCACTAGATGCTGAGGGCCAAGTAGATGAACATTATGTTTTTAGCTCAAGAAATGTATCAATCAATTTTTAATATTGTTGCTTTTTATAAAAAGGGACTATTTATTCCCCTTGTATTTTTTGGCAGAAATGCAAGGTTCCATGCCATTTCCATTTTTGGTCTGCTGGAAAATGCTTAGTAATTTTTGTCCTTGTATTTGCTTACTTATGAGACAATAAGTGTGAGTAGATTCTGTGGCTTGCTACTGGATTCAAAAAATGTTAATGTGCATTTGACATTTTGTACTGTAGCCATAGCAAGAGGTGTTATTTTGTTTGTTTGTTTGTTTTAATTATTTATTCATGAGAGTCAGAGAGAGAGATAGAGAGAGGCAGCGGCAGAGGGAGAAGCAGGCTCCCTGCTAGGCGGGACTCGATCCCAGGACCCTGGGATCGTGACCTGAGCTGAAGGCAGACGCTTAACCATCTGAGCCACCCAGGTGTCCCAAGAGGTGTTATTTTTGATGTATGTATAATATGGTTAAAGTGAATTCCAATAAATGTCCCCTACTATTTTTATTGCTGAGTTAGGTCTATGTGAAAGACACCGAATCCTTTAAAAGCCTGAGTTTATGTAGGTTTGTATTAAATCACAAAATTGTATTCTATTATCTTTGATGTAATTAAAACGTGTATGGGAGTAGTAAGGATAATTTTCAAAAAGTTGGAAGTATAGATTTATTACCTGTGGCAATCCTCTGGAATCTGTACTTTTCAGTTTACTTTTAAAAGACCAAATTCTTGGGGTGCCTGGGTGGCTCAGTCATTGAGTGTCTGCCTTCTGCTCAGGTCATGATCCCAGGGTCCTGGGATCGAGCTCCACATCGGGCTCCCTGCTCTGCGGGAAGCCTGCTTCTCCCTCTCCCACTCCCCCGGCTTTTGTTCCCTCTCGCTGTGTCTGTCTCTGTCAAATAAATAAATAAAATCTTTAAAAAAAAAAGACTAAATTCTTCAAAATTCCACATCAATTAGACAGTTACACAAAATATTAAATTAAAGTTGTATTTGTGAATTTCTAATATCCAAATAGCTAACTTTAATGATAAAAAAAAGGACAGGAAATAAAGATGTTCTGCCAAAATTAAATTTTAGGTTTTTTTTCTTTCTAAACATCTTTTACTGGGTTAACAGTATTGTTCTTTTTGCTCAGAAGATGCTTAGGTCATATCTATTGATATTTATGGATTAATCAATAATTTTATTCTACTTTTATTGCTTCATGGGCTTAGTTGATAGCATTCACTCTTATCCAGTCTTACCATTATTTTACCTTTCCCAAGCAAAGGGTTTTAAACAAGCTAAATTGGGTCATCTGTGGCTTTTTTTTATATTTTTATTTCAAATCAGAAAAGTATAGAAAATAATACAATGGATGCTCATTCCTTTTGCCTCCTACTCTTTCCCTCTGTTTAAATTTTCTTCTTCCGAAAATATGTTTTTTGTAGTTCTTTAAATAAGAGTCGGTGGGTGGTAAATCACTTGGTCTTGTTTATCTAAGAGGTCTTTATTTCTCCCTCAGCAGTCCCTGGTAGTTCAGCTGGGAATAGAATTCTAGTTTGACATTTATTCCTCCCCCTAGACTTCTGGTGATATAATTTACTATGTTCCCACTAACATTGCTGTTGCAAAGTCTTTGGCTGATTTGTTATTTCTGGATGATTGATTTTGTTCCCTATTTGCTTTTCTGGGTTTTCTCTTTGTCTATAGTGTTCTTCAGTTTCACTACACTCTATTTGGATGTGGAGTTATTTTTATTTTCTTGTTTGAGACTCCCATGCTTCTTGAATTGAGGGTTTATATCTTCTATCAATTCTGGAAAATTCTTAGCCATTAATTACTTGAATATTGCCATTCCTCCACTTTCCCTCTTTTTCTGGTATTCCTATTAGATGTATTTTGGACCTTATGCTATATTTCATATCTTTTTTACCCTTCTTTTATTATTTCTGCCTCTTGTCTCTTGCTACTGCATTCTGAGTAATTTTCTCATGTCCATCCTCAATTAACACTCTCTTGGGCTGTGTCTAATCAGTTGTTTAACTTGCCCGTTAAGAATTATAATTTTGGTGACTCTATTTTTCATTTTTGGAAGTGCTGTTGGTTCTCTTAAAATCTAGTTAGGGGGTGCCTGGGTGGCTCAGTTGGTTAAGCATCTGCCTTCTGCTCAGGTCATGATCCCACCATCCCAGGATTCACCCCCATATCTGGCTCTCTCTCACCCCCTGGCTCACCCCCATATCTCCCTCAGTGGGGAGTCTGCTTCTCCCTCTCCCTCTGTTCATGCTCTCTCTCACTCTCTCTCTCAAATAAATAAATAAAATCTTTAAAAAATAAATTAAAAAATAAAATCTAGTTAGGTGTATTTTGTTCCTTAAGTTTATGATTTCTATTTTATGTCTTTGATCACCTTAAACTACATTTTTTGTGTCTTCTTTTAGATTACCTCCAGAGTTATCACTATCTGGGGCCAAATATTATGTTGGCTTAGGAGTTTATGCACCTAAAAGTGATACAGGTAAACCCCAAATTCATGTAAGACCTGGGACTCTGATTTCAAATTTTCGGGGAAGATGTTGTTGCTATTTTTACCCAAACCCAGGCAAGGACTATTGGAATATCTTTTTATCTTCCTGTGCCAATGGATAGATTTTTCTCTATGTATTGTTTCATTTTTAGCACCAGACTTTCTGTAGGTGTCTTATTTCCAGTGTCCCACCTCTCAAGGCCCACAGCTTTGTTTCCTGTCCCCAAGTGGGCAACAGAAAAGGCCTCCAGGGTAATGAGACCAATAGTCCTCTCCCTGTGCAGCCACTTTGTCACCTCATGTCTTCTTGCTTTTCATTTCCCTTTTACTTTCTGGTGAACTTATTTCTGCATTTAAAAAAAAAAAATCTTACATTTCATTCAATATTTCCAAGTGTTTATAGTATGTGAGATTTTAGTTTCCTTAGTCCCTTTTCCTGCCAGTCTTCTGCAGAATTCTTGGTTTGCTTCTCGTGCAGATAAGGCCAGGGTGGGCCTTTGCACAGTGAGGCTCATTGCAAGCAGAAGTTCCATGGCAAGGCGGAGTGGCTTCGAAGTGCATGAAAGGAAGAGTGAGGGAATTGTCACCAATTCCTCTTCTGATCGTGTCTGATGAATCTTCCCTAAATCCAACCCTGTCCCTTTCATTTCCTTGTTCAAAACCTTTATTTCACACCCTTGCACTCCTTGAGTTGGCTACAGTCTGTCTTACTTCCTGACCCTGCACCTTTACCAACCCATGTTTCAAGTCCATGCCTGCCTGCCACTGTGCATTTCTGCATGCTGCCTCCTTCCTGGATGGCCTCTTACCTCTTCCTCCTGCCTGTCTTTTAGCCTATGTTCCAAGGTCCCGCTCAAGTACCTCATCATCTGAAAAAGTTTACTTGATTTCTTCCCTGCTGACTACATACAGCTATGTAGATGTGAATATACACACCTCTAAATCTCTATCTGAAGCACTGTATCATTCTCTCAAGCAAACTGTACCATGTTTATTGAACTAGAGTATTAGAATAGACTAGAATAGAAAATATCAGAGTAGGGCTGCCTGGGTGGCTCAGTCGGTTAAGCATCTGCTTTCGGCTCAGGTCATGATCCCAGGGTCCTGGATCGAGCCCAGCATCAGGCTCCCTGCTCAGTGGGGAGCCTGCTTTTCCCTCTCCCTCTGCTGCTCCCCCTACTTGTGCTCTCTCTGTCAAATAAAAATAAATAAAAATCTTAATAAAAATTTTTTAAACAGAAAGAAAATATCAGAGTGCATTATAGGTTTTAAGGGTAAATAACGCTTTACAAAACTTTGAGTCACATGTATGTATATCAGACCATAGTGTAAAATATATATTTTCATGGCAGGTGGGTGGGAGATACAGATTTTTTAAAGTTGAAGAAACACTATACTAGATAGTAAGTTCCTTAGAGGCAATAACTGTCTGATTCATCTTTAGCACACACACACACACACACACACACACAACCCATGTCCCCATGTCTAGGACTCTGCTTTGTATACAATAGACAGTAAAGAGTTTTTGAATAAATGAATGAATGACTATATGATAAATGAGTGAATGGATAGATGGATGAATAGATGAAACAATATAGTAGCTTAAAAGGAATGTCTTTGTAGGAAACTGTGCTTCTGAGAGTAATCTTGCCAACCTCTAAACTGATAATAATGGATTTTGTTTTGTCCTTTGTACTCCTTAGCAGATGATGCCTCATATCTGCTGAGTACAAGAGATACTGATTCTCAGCCTTCTGCCTCGGGGCATCTAAAGATACCTCATTATTCATTGATATGGTCACCTGCTCCCTTCTTCACCTTAGCAATATGTGAAGAGGAGAGTCAGGTTGACTCTAAGCAGTTGGACAGTCTCAGAATGTACGTTCTCATTATCTCTGAGTCTCTCCATTTATATGGCATCTGTCACCCTTAGTCACAGGCAATTACCTGCTCAATAAACTTTTCCAAAAACAAGACTCTTCAGCTTTTCAAAATCAAGAGCACCCATAATCTTGACTTTGTAGATTTAATGGACAAGAACGGATAAAGGTAAAGACAAAACAACTTTTTATTCAGTCTGATCTGAATTTGAATCCTGATTCAACCTCTTTAGTGTCATGTGGCCTTGAGCCAAGCAGTCAATCTCCCTTTTTTGTCGTTTGCAAAATTGGAGTAGCAGAACCTAGCACACAGAGCAGTTGAGAGGGTTAGAGGTAATGTGTGGAGCTCCTGCTATAATCCTTAGCACCTACTATGTGCTCGGTCATCATCATTGTTGTCGTCATCACTCAAGAATTGGAATCAACTAACCAAATCTGGTATATTTCTTTGGAAGTCAGCCTGGTGCTTCCTCTCTTTGTGTTTGTTCAAAAGGAATGGAAGCTTGAGAGGACAGTTGGATGCCTGCCGTTGGCCATTCACTGTTACTGTCAAATGGTTGTTCTGAACTCTGCCGTGGCTATGAGAGAGACAAAGCCAAAGCTGGTTTAAGCAGACCTGGTCTGGATCCTGTAAGGACTTGTGCTCTGGGAGGTGACAGAAGCAAGCAAATAAAAGTATACAAAAGAAGACAGCACCCCCACAATCTCACTGTATCTCCAGCAAAATACTTGAGGCTTACCCATGTATAAACTGAAAACCTAGAAAGTGAGTCCACACAGAATGGTTTTCAAAAGCTTTCTAAGAAGAAATGTCCTGGGTTCTTGAGGGTAGGGGTCTCAGAAACAAGTAGGAACATCTTCATCTGGGCCACACTGGGAAGCCAGTGGCCCAAAATGTGAAAGGCTGTATTATTCAACTAAATAAAGCAAGTTCAGAAAATTTCAAGAATTTTCTTTTTCTCATTCATGTGTTTACATTTATTGACAAGCTCAGAGGGAGAAATACTTAATTTTCTTAAAGTGAGTCATCAGTTCAAACTGATTTTCTTTTTCTCCCCATTTTATTGAGATATAATTGACATATATATATGATACAATGTAACATTATGTTAGTTTTATTTTTATTTATTTATTTATTTTTTAATTTTATTATGTTATGTTAGTCACCATACAATACATCATTAGTTTTTGATGTAGTGATCCACGATCCATTGTTTTCGTATAACACCCAGTGCTCCATGCAGTACGTGCCCTCCTTAATACCCATCACCGGCTAACCAATCCCCCCTCCCCCCTCCCCTCTAAAACCCTGTTTGTTTCTCAGGTCCATAGTCTCTCATGGTTCATCTCTCCCTCCAATTCCTCCCGCCCATTTTTCCCTTCCTTCTCCTGATGTCCTCCATGTTATTCCTTATGTTCCACAAATAAGTGAAACCATATGATAATTGACTTTCTCTGCTTGACTTATTTCACTTAGCATAATCTCCTCCAGTCCATCCATGTTGATGTAAAAGTTGGGTATTCATCCTTTCTGATGGCTGAGTAATATTCCATTGTATATATGGACCACATCTTCTTCATCCATTCATCTGCTGAAGGGCATCTCAGCTCTTTCCACAGTTTGGCTATTGCAGACATTGCTGCTATGAACACTGGGGTACACATGGCCCTTCTTTTCGCTACATCTGTGTCTTTGGGGTAAATACCCAGTAGTGCAATTGCTGGGTCATAGGGTAGCTCTATTTTTAAATTTTTGAGGAACCTCCACACTGTTTTCCAAAGTGGCTGTGCCAACTTGCATTCCCACCAACATTGTTAGTTTTAGATGAATTCATTTTAGGCGGATTAGTATTACTTTTAGGTGTATAACATGATTTGAAATATGTACATATTGTAAAATAATTACCACAATAAATGTAGTAGCATCCATTACCACACAGTTACAACTATTTTTTTCTTATGATGAGAACTTCTAAGATGTACATTCTTGTCAACTTTCAAATATACAATACAGGGTTGTCACCAGAGTTGCCATGCTGTACATTATATCCCCAGGACTTATTTATATTATAAGTGGAAGTTAAGATCTCCAAGAATTTTCAACCACACTCCTGAGGCAGCCTCTTCTGTCTGCCCTCCTTCCTCTAATTTAGCCAGCAAACAAGAAACTTGATTTTACTAGCCTGTGCTTCTAACAGAGCATTTAAGTATGACCCATCATTGTTTTCTTCCCAGTGAGATGTTGACAACCAGGCACAGATTTAGTTCTAATGTAATGTAATAAATACAAGCATCAATTCTCCACATCTCTGGATGTATTAAGTCACATCTTGGCGAATCCATGCTGGTTTAAGCTTCCAGCATCCTTACAAGGAACTGCAGGAGAAATTAAATCGGGTATTGGACCAGGGGTTTCATCTAGATCTATAGTCTATCGGCATAGAATGTCAACAAGAAAAACAAGAAATTCTAATTTGCATAAGACTTACTCAGAAAGCAAGTAATTTTTTCTCTACTTTGATTGAAACCTGGAAAAGGAAAAGATCTGCCTACAACTTCAAAAGAAGAAAACACACCTAACTTTCATCTTGTCCTCTAGCAGAGCCTGTGACTGAGCAAGAGGGCGGTGCTTGCCTTCCTCTAATGTTCTGATATTTAAAAACCCTTTTCTGATGAACAGTGATATGAAAATGGGAGAGTTTATCATTGGGATTGCTTGAGCCTCAATAGCCCCTGCTCACAAAATAGTTAACGGGCAAGACACAGGCAAGATCCTCCAGATGTTATCGCTGGGTTGAGCTTGGAGCACAGATGTAGGGTGGTAGACACTTACTCATAGTGATGCTAACTGTGTTGTGTTGGAATGGAGACTTCATAACATAACATGCTCTAGCAGGTTTGCTAACCTAAAACAAACAACGCAATTTCTGTTGTAATGTAAGTCTGAAAGTAAACTAGAAGGAGCACAAAATATTTTCTTGTTGTGCAAGTCTTTGAAGAATAAAGGATGCCGGGCTCTGTTGCACCACACACCGTGAATCTGGAATGAAATATGTCATGCCTTAAGACCAAACCTGTGTGAATACCAGTCATGGGCAGCTGGCACCAACGTTGAAAGGCCAGGCAATTAGCTAATGACGGCATCACTGCATGCTAATGGTGTTCTAGGTTCCGGCAGCAACGTCTGTTGACACACCTTTGTTCCTCGGCCCGGCGTCTCAGGCTTTCAGCTCCTCCTGGGTGCTGAGGTCCCGGCGATGGCGTCAGGACAGCGCTCCCATTAACTCTGAAGGTAGGCAGGATGTTGCATTGTAGCAAGAACACTGGTAGCCTGCCACCGACAAACTAGATATGATGAGTTGTTTGTTCTAGCAGTTTTAATGAACTCGATTGTGGCTCTAAGTAACCGAGGCGTTTGGCAAGTGAAATGCACACTCACCCTAGCTTCCTCTTCTGTTTTGGACTGTATCTGATGAGTTAACAGACCAGGGTTAGGATACAATCTATTTGTAGTTACAAAAGAGCTTGTGTTTTCACCTCTAGCACATACAGAGATTGAACCGTCAGCTATAATCCTGTATTTCACCTCTTTAGATAATTGGAGTTATCTGCAGACTGCTCAATATCAGAAAATATCAGATCTTTCTGTCAGGAACCTTTTTAATGTTTAAGGGATTTGTGAATTAGGAAATCATGCTGTACTAATTAAAGGATAGAATTACTGCCTCTAATTAACTTTGGATCTTTATATATTGGATCGTTATATTAGTCATGCTTGTAGCCTGATAGCTAGTCACTAACCTCAACCATGTGATATTTCATGATATTTCACCATGCCCAAATTTGCAAGTTGGCGGGTTTTCTGCACTGGTGTATATGCCTATCTTCCTATCCTAACCAAATGTTACATGGCTGATGACTAAGGATGTGTAAATAGCAGAACATCAGCTTTAATGCCTCTCTGCATCAAATCCTCCCTGTGGATTTGAGTCGGCTTCCCAGAAGGACAAGCAGCTAGTGTTTTTAGCCACACTCCTCTTTAAACAGAGGCCTCTCCTGCTTCAGTAAATCTAATAAGGGAAATTGAAAGAGAATGAAAATAATTTCTAGATTGAGTTCCCTACTGAGTGTAGTGATAGAATCAAATTAATGTTGTCCTGAAAGGAGACTAAGAAACCATTCTGGTCAGGTGAGAAATACTTAACATTACACTTGACAAAGTACTAGCTCATTGTCCCAATTATAAATAAATAACTTTAAAAATAACAATTTCTTAGCAAAGCACTCAGCCTGGCACCCCTTACTTAATCCATAAAGGCATCCACCAGAAATCTGGAAACTCACCCTAAACAGAAACAAAATAGTATTAGGAGTTAAAGCTCAGGGATAATATTTGAAAGGTTTCATTTAGCTGCTGAATGAATTGATCTTTCAGATGAGCTCACAAACTCCTGTTTTTCTGTACACTGTTCAAATTAAATTGTGTTTTCCTTATTATGAGTATTCTTGGGACCACAGAGACCAAAAGGATTTCTTTTGTGGTTGTTAAGTAGGATTTCTCAGCAGTAAAATGAAATTTAATGCACCATGATAGTAAAATTTCAATTGAAACTTACAGCAAATAAACCATATGCAATTATTATGAAGTAATAAAAAAAAAAACCTAAGGGCTTTTTCCTTGAACTTCACAGTATTCAATTCAGTTCATCCATGGGTAGGGCCTTAATTTTTATGTCCAGTGACTTTATGAGAAAATTATTAAAGTTTCTTCTCCTTGAGAATACGAAACCAGGGGAAGGTCGTTCCTCAAGTTATTTTCAGTCTGGTTCTTTCAGATTATATGCTTCTTTTTACTATTTATGGAGATTTCATTTTAGCACAAAAGAATATTTGAAAA